TGGGGAGTTTCTTCTCCCTGTTTTCAAAGATTCAATGTGTTGGGATCAGTGTAGATGGGTTTTATCCACATGAAACTTATTTTATCCCATAAAACTTTGATCACCTCTTTTCTCATCTATTCCATATTATGTCAGCTCATTTAATACCATGGAACTCTCATGAAATTTACATCGAGACTGACCTAAGAAATTTAATTGGAGCTGTTTTGTAAAAGATCTGTTTGGAAAAAAAAAAACAGTTTCCTACATCTCACGGAGCTGGTGACGAATGTTCAAAATAGTTTTATTAGTCCCGCGCGTGTCACCTCACGTGGTTCGCTGCACGCATCCATCGTCATCAGCCGAAACACGTACTGATCCACACGGGCGGGGCGGGGCCGGACGCTGACACGGCGGCCCGGTTCAACTCGTGTAAATCCAGGTCATGTGATGCGAGCTCGGATGGACCGGGCAGCAGGGGGCCAGGCTGCCCGGCCCGGATCATGGAAAGAGAAGGGAGCCAAAAAAAACAAAAAAAAAACGTCACACCAACCCACAGCAAAGCAACAAGAACGATCTGGTCCCACCAGCCTGTGCGGGCCCCCGTTGGGGGAGTGATGTCGAAATTATCTCGGGTCGTCAGCTCGGCTGTTTGTTCGTTTATCCGAGCGTGTGTGCAGGTGCGCTGCATGATCCATGATGAGACTGCGAGTATTTTTGTTTTGCTCTGTTGTGTGGCTGGCCTGAGCCGCTAGACGGCGCGAGCGAAAGCGACCGTGAGACGCGCGAGGGAGACCGATCGAGTCGAGGTTGATCAGCGCAACGCAGGCAGGGCAGGGATAGGGAAGCGGAGGCGCGATCCCGCCCGGTTTCCACCGTCCGCGACGTGGATTTCTTTCTCTTTTCCTGCCCGTTCATCTGCCGTCACCCGTCTGTTTTCTGGCCTCCTGGGTCACTTGCCGTCGCTCTGCGGGCGCGGTGGCCGGGTGGGTGATGACCACACCTCGGCCTCGCTCCGTTTCAGCAGATACCCGGCCACGCACCAGTCACCGACCGCAGCTGCATCCCACGCGCCGTGCTTTTGCCTGCATTTGCGGAAGCACGCAAAGCTCAGAAATAACGGCCAAGCTGTTCCTTTTTGGCTGGGGAGCAGCGGCCTAACTGAACTGATCAAAGCAAGCATTTGTGACGACTGTGACTCACGGAGCGATGTGAACCAGCCCGGCCTCAGGCCTATTCATACGTCTTTTCTCCTCGGGTGAACACGGTCGATCCCTCTTCTCCTTTGAGATAACTCACTCACATAAGCCCACTCGTGATTACTCACTGCACTACTCCTCCTACTCGTACCGGAAAGCGTCGATGATTCCCCTTTTCTTTTTTATTTATGCCCAGTTCGCGTACCTTTAAATCCAGTTTGATGCCCTTCTTTTTTCATTCGGAACCATATTTTTCTCTCACAAGTTCTTCCAAAATTTCTATAAACCATTCAAATTCCTCCCGACCGTACCAGCCGAACACCCCCTAATTCAAACAGGAAAACGGAGCAGTGAAAGCGTAAAACAAATGATGATTCCACTCGAGCGTCGGAACACGACAAAATGGGCACTAGTCGGGTACTATAGTAGGTGTAGGTGCAGGTGCATTGTGCAGAGTGCTGAGTGCCGCTGAACGGCACGAACTCCGTTGCACACGCTGGATATTTGTTTGATGTTTTCCGGTGCCTTTGTCTGCACCCCATCCTCCTGTACTGTCCGCCACCTTCACCGCGTTCATCTAATCGTATCAGCCATATTTATTAATTATAATATAATGTTTTTTTATCATAACAAAACAACATCAGTTAACTTATAAACCAAAAAACGATCAAGCGAATAAGTAATGATCATGAGGAGAAGAAAAACACTGCAAGACGCGATTACCAGCCACTATTAGCCTCCCATCTTTACATAGACATTCTTCCTATCGAGTTTACCAGCAGGCTGCAGGCGCACATACATTTAAACTTAATACTCTTTGTCTAGTAATAATTTAGCCTCACGTTCCAACATATATCACCCTGTTCACTCGATCGTATCGGCCAAACTTATCAGCTATGACACAGTTTTTTTCTCTCACAACAAAATAGCATTAGTCGGCTTATAAGCCACAGAAACGATAAGCGAATAGGGTGTAATACGGTTATATTTATGATCGACTATACTACTCGATAATAAAAGATCATGATCATAAACTATAGTAAATAAAACTAATGGTCTAAGCGTAGACAGTAGTTTAAAATGCAGTCCAGCGTAACATGGCATGGCGTGAAGCGGAACAGTGGCCTGGGCGACGGGTCAGGATAGGATATAGGCCGCGTTTAGTTCCCACAGATTCCAGAATTTAACACTATGTAAAAAGAAGATTCCTCGTCACATCAAATTTGCGGTACATGCATGGAGTACTAAATGTTGACGAAATCAAAAACTAACTGCATAGTTTGGTTGTACTTTACGAGACGAACATTTTGAGCATAATTAGTCAACAATTGGACAATTATTATCAAATAAAAACAAAAAGACACAGTGCCGCTACAGTGTTCCTGCCGGCGCCAATTCGCCGGAACTAAACGAGGCCATAATAACGCGGCCATATCGCTATAAATACTATTGGATTCGGATCTTGATGCCACTGCCTCACCGCGTCGCGAAAAGCGCACAAAGCTGCTGTGCCTGCTGGAGGAGACGCAGCCGGCAGCAGGAGCAACGGAGCGTGGGGAACCAACCGGGCAAACGGGAACGGGACGGACGGGGTGGGTGCGCAACGCCGCGTCCTCGTGTCGTGGGTCCCTTCCCTGTCACCACCCGAGATTGCGGCCGTCACATCGTCCAATCAGGAACACGTGTGTGAGTTTGTGTACGCGTGGTGACGTGAGTTGGTGCGCTACGACAGCTTATACTCGAAGATTTGAGGCATCAAAAGTCACACACACAAAAAAAACAGTAACCGCGTTTGCTGGTCGTGTTAGATTCTCTCACGTCATCGTTTTGATTTCGGACTTCGCAGGAACTCACGAATTCGGCGCAAATTTGTGAACGGGCTCTGGCGTGTACAAATAGTACGGAATTCTGTTGAAACAACCTGAATTATGTATGGAACGAGAAATCCCAAGGCTATATTAACCGCTGACAGAAAATCCTGCGGTGCATGGTTGTGTCAGCCTGAATAGGGAACGAGAAATTCAGCAGGCATATTAACTGCCGGGAGAAATATAGTTACCCTCCATCCACATATCCACTCAGATAATTATATAAAGTAAATTCAAATTTGGTTGACAACAAAACTGGCACATGTCGTAGGAAATAGATTTGCAAAGAACGGGTAAAATCTCGACAATTTGAGACGTGGCAACTCAAAACTGATGGGCCGAGTAATTTTTTTTAGCAATAGATGTGGCAAATGTTGGCAATCTTAGTATGCCAACCAAAGTGACCCCTAGACTATTATGATAACAGAGGCTCGTGTGTAACAAGGCCTTGTTTAGATTGTGTTAGGAATCAGTATTTGGCACTGTAGCACTTTCGTTTGTATTTGATAATTATTGTCCAATCATGGCCTAACTAGGCTTAAAAGATTCGTCTCGTAATTTACAATCAAACTGTGTAATTAGTTATTTTTTTATCTATATTTAATACTCCATGCATGTATCTAAAGATTTGATGCGATGGAGAGAGACTGAAAAAACTTGCAATCTAAACAAGGCCCAAATTTGATAGATTAAGTTGCATGAACAACCGAACTCTATCTTAAAAAAACGACGTGTTCTAAAATTAGGGCATCCTTGGGTTGGAGACTCTCCGTGTTTCTAAATCATCGTTTGGAGAGCCAATGAGTCATTTGCATAGAAATCGCTTTCTAGATCTTTCTACTCTCTAACATTTTTTTTCATATCTCGTGCACACTCTAGAGTGTTATTCTCGTTTTTTCTATTTTTGACTAACGAAAAATCTGAAATAAGATAGCTACATTTGGATAAACATTTAAGTAAGTTATTGGTGGGCAGATTTTTCACCAAAGTCTATATCATAGCAATTAGTAGGGACATAGAGAGTCTCTTGAAATCGCCGTAACTCAGAGATGAATGGCACATGCTAGCAAACTGTTGAAAACGCATTGCAGGTTCTAATAATAACAAAAGAAACAAAAAACACTGTAGAGTAATAAGTGTTGGTTTCGGGTACTAGCGTGTATCATCATGTGCTTGTAAACCGTCATCACGGTGGTACCTGGTATCCAACGAGGACGATGGATCCACCACAAAACACACCGCTGCCGTGCTCCGCGTCCCAAAGGAGAAGCGGAAAAAGAAGAAGAAGGGCGACACGGTAACAGAGGCCTGGGGCTGGGGGCCACGGAGATCTAGATCTATCTATCCGCTGCTCTGCTCCGGCCATCCTCCTCACCCGCCTCGACCAAGAGAAAACAAAGCGAAATGCGCTCGGAAATGCTCCGAGAACCGAGAGCGAGACCCGGCAGACGGATTCCAGGAACCACCCCGGAGGAAACGGAATTCGCGCGCGGGGTCCTTCGTCCCCTCCCCCGGGCCCGGCCCCTCCATCCCGTCCCGAGAAAGCACAAGGCAACAGACCTGAGCGCACAGTGAGGAAAGGGGAGCTTATAGATAGATAGCGATGCAGGCAGGGCGTGGTGCGCACTCATCAGAGCTGCTCCGCTCCCTACTCCCCCCTTGTAGCGTAGCGTAGCTTGCCCGACGCCGCGACCTCCGGGGCTTGGCTTTGGGAAATGGAGCAGCCGCTCACTGCCCCAGTGGGGCCTGGCGCCGCTCCAAGTGAGCTCCTACTCTAGTGAAGTGAAGCTAGCAGCCAGCCTCGAGCTTGAGCAGAGCACAGCTTGCTCACTCTTCTTGTACTAGCACACCGCAGCTGCGAGAACAGAGGTCCAAGAAGAGGAAAAAGGAAGCCCTCTGGTGGTGCCGGTGCGTGCGTGCTTGCTTGCGGGTGGCAGAGTAGAGCCGGCCATCCATGGACGCCTACGAGGCCACCAAGGTGGTGTTCTCGCGGATCCAGGCGCTGGACCCGGACCACGCCGCCAAGATCATGGGCTTCCTCCTCATCCAGGACCACGGCGAGAAGGAGATGATACGCCTCGCCTTCGGCCCCGAGGCGCTGCTCCACACCATCATGGCCAAGGCGCGCAAGGACCTCGGCCTGCTCCCGGCACCGGGCTCCGGCCCGGGCACGCCCACCTCCGCCGCGCACTCGCCGTTCCTCCTCTCGCGCCAGAACTCCGGCCGCAGCGGCGGTGGTGGCGCCGGCACCGCGCCGTCGCCGCTCTCGGTGTCGTCGCCCTCGTCGTGGGCACCGCCGCCCGTGTTCTCCAGGAGCAACAGCGTCGTCAGCAATGGCGCGGCGGCGGAGGAGGCGTTGGCCGCCGTCGGGGAGGACCTCATGAGCCCGGCCGCAGGCGGGAACGCCCCGCCGTCGCCCTTCTTCGCCGCCGGGGACCCGCTCCTCGACGAGCTCCAGCTGCAGGAGCAGCTCGCGTTCCTCAACGACGCCGGCGGCGGCCACCAGCTGACCCTGTTAGACGCCGCCGGCGAGTGCCGGAGCCCCGGGTCTGGCGATGCCGCCGGGTTCTTCCCGTACGGCGGCCTCGGCTGGGCCAACGGCGGCGGCCCAGGGCACCGCCGGAGCTCGTCGGTCAGCGAGCTCTGCCTCGGCGGGGCCGACGGACTCGGCTGGAAGCCCTGCCTGTACTACGCCCGCGGGTACTGCAAGAACGGCAGCGCTTGCCGGTTCGTGCACGGCGGCCTCCCCGACGACGCCACCGCTCTCGCCGGTGCTAAGGACACCGCCACCTTGGAGCAGCAGTTCCAGGACATCCTACTGCGCTCCAAGTCCCAGCGCCTTGCCGCCGCCGCCGCCTTCCCCTACTCCCCGACCGGCTCGCTCCCTGGCTCCCCGTCCGCGGCTACCAAGTGCCTCAGCTTGCTCTTGCAGCAGCAGCAGAACGAGAACCAGAGGTCTGCCATGCATGTTCGAGGAGCTAGCTCGCAGACAGTAGACACTCCCCCCTCTCCTCGTGCTCACGATCTCCCCGATTCCTGCAGGGCGGCAGCTGCAGCGGCCGCCGCGGCGCTGATGCTGGGCGGCGACGACGCGCACAAGTTCATGGGGCGGCCGCGGCTGGACCGCGCCGACTTGGCGAGCATGATGAACCCGGGCTCGCGCCAGATTTACCTCACCTTCCCGGCGGACAGCACCTTCCGCGAGGAGGACGTCTCCAACTACTTCAGGTAACGAACTGTTCCTGTGTTCCACTACCAGCGCGCGCGCTGCTCCGGTCCCCCGGGAACCATGCGCGGTCTCTTCTGACGGGCTCCGGCGAACCACTGCAGCATCTACGGCCCCGTCCACGACGTGCGCATCCCGTACCAGCAGAAGCGCATGTTCGGGTTCGTCACCTTCGTGTACCCGGAGACGGTGAAGCTGATCCTGGCCAAGGGCAACCCGCACTTCATCTGCGACGCGCGCGTGCTCGTCAAGCCCTACAAGGAGAAGGGCAAGGTCCCCGACAAGTACAGGCATGCCGCGACCTTCCATTTTGCCTTCGTGTGCTTCCCCCTTCTAGGCTTTTCGCTCTACGGCATCATGTCATTGACCGATCGCTCTGCTGCTAATCTGCAGGAAGCAGCAACTGCAAGGCGAGAGGGTGGATTTCTCCAACGGGTTGGACGCCAGAGACCACTTTGATCTGCACCAGCTCGGTAAGGCATTTTGGCATCTGTTGCAAAATGATCGGTGCTCAGACCCCGAGTGTGTACTGATGCTTGTTTGCTGCCGTCAGGTGCGAGGATGCTGCAGCACTCGCACAGCGCGAACGAGATGCTGCTGAGGAGGAAGCTGGAGGAGCAGCAGCAGCAGGCAGCCGAGCTGCAGCAGGCCATGGAGCTCCAGAGCCGCCGCCTGATGGGGCTGCAGCTGCTGGACCTCAAGACTCGCTCGTCGCCGAGCCCCATCGGCATGCCCTTCAGCCCCACGCGAGCCGTCGCCTCTCCTACCGTCGAGTCGCCGCCCGATTCCGGTAGGGATAGCGACAGAATGCGACGCCATTTCACCTTTTTCGGCACGGATGTGTTGATGAATAGCTGGCGATATTCGGGATTTCTGAACCCCCTGGTTGATTTCGATTCCAGCAGGGGAACACGGCCCCAAGGACAGCAGCGGCTTCCTTTTTCCTCAGAGGGGAGCGGTCAACGGAGGCGATAAGGAGGAATCTGCCGGCGATGCGAGCCCGAACGCAGACAGTGACCAAAGGTGGAATGGAATTAGCGCTACGCAGAGAAGCAACATTTCACCAACTGATCCGTGGGAAGTGACTCTTTTTTAACGCGTTGCGTTGTTTCCCTCCCCTGCAGTGCCGAGCACAACCTGCCGGACAGCCCGTTCGCGTGGCCGACCAAGAAGTCCGCCGCCGCGGCGTTCTCTCGCGATCCTTTCGCGCCCAGCGACTCGGAGATCGCCGCCGCAGCTGCTGCCTCGCCTGGTCGTAACGCCACGGCCGCCTCCTTTGCCGGCATCAACAATGGCGGTGGCCTCACTGGCCATCTCAGGCCGTCTGCTCTGGACATACCTTCGCCGAAGCCCTACTTCTTCCCCATGTCCAGGTATACAACCACATCGTACCCGCAAATCGCGCGGTTCTATCTAATCTATCTGGGCGCCATGATTTGCTCAAGGCCTGAAACGCATCATGCAATCCGTTGGCTGGCAGGCTGTCCTCCGATCACGGCGCCGGCGCGATCGGGATGTAAAGTTAAGCCCTCAATGGGAGGGAGTATGATACTACTGCCTAATCATAGTAAGCACTTCATCGTCTTCCTTTTGCGAAAGCCATGCATGGATCTCAAGCACTGAGCACCATGCTTCCAAAATGATATGCTTTTCAGATGTGGAATGATGCTGTTCTTACTTTCGTTTCGATCCCTGCAGGAATACTAGAAGCAAAGAAACAAGCCAGTGGAATATAGGGAAACAAAAAAGAATGGAGAAGTCGCAGCATAGTTAGTTCAGTTCCTTTTTTTCTCTTCTTTTCTTTCCTTTTCATGAAACCAAACCTCAGTAGGAGCAGATCCACACCAAGCTGAGAAGCACTCGCAGCAACAGATTAGTGCTTGCTCTCCTGTTACATTACATGCATTTACCACTAATTACTACGATTAGTACTTACTATTACCACCCACCAGCATTGATGTAATACACTACCTAGCTAGCTCCATGTCCATGATATGCTACTGCTACAACAGCCACTAGTTCATATACACTGATAGCACTTGGTGTGATGCTTACCAACCACAAGAAGATACTTATACTCATCCTGTTCGTTTGATCGTCTATGTGGCTTATAAATCGGCTGATGTTGTTTTGTTATGAGAGAAAAACACTATATTATGGCTGATATGATCGAGCGAACAGGGTGACTACCAACATGTGATCAGCGAACAGGGTGACTACCAACATGTAACCCCGGACTATTACAGTACTGCTCTGCTTGCTGGATGCAAACATCCATTGCAAAGCCAAAACAGACGTGACAGACAGGCTTGGAGAGGAGGACCAGACCAGCTGGTCTGGTGTGTGTAAAAAAGACCTCACAGGATTTGGGGTGTGATTGAAGAAGGACCACTCTGTGTTGTCTCCACGGCCTGCTGACGCGGAACCGAGCTGTTGTCAATATTGGGAGGAGAGGTGTCAGCGTTGTTGGCTGGGGGAGGGGCGGTCCGGTCCCCCCCACTCTTCAGTCCTTCAGCAGATGCAGATGCAGGTCACTACAAAAAGATGTTTTTTTATTTTACCTTTTTTTCTTTGATTTTACTTTTGCTTGTCGAATGAATTTACTGTAGTGGACAGTGTTATTATAATACAAAGAAAGGAAAGTGAAAGATATGGAAATAATTTTGCCCTCTGTGCGGTGAATGATTTGGTGGTGTGGTGGGTGCCTACATTTACCTCAGTTCTTCCTCTGAGTATATTTCTTCACCACTTCAGCTATTTCATTTCACTCTGGTAATAAGACCTGGTTACAGTAAAACACTTGCTCTACTAGTACGAGCTTTAACAAAAAAGAAGAGCTGCTAATAGTACTACTATGAGTTTTTCATGTTGAAAAAAAAGGGGCGCACGAAGAAACGAAGAAAGGAACGTGGCACACGAAGAAAAGACGATCGGCGAGCGATAGTAGTGTTGGTGCTTTTCTCCGTGGCTGGCAGTGGCAGTGGCAGTGGCAACGCAACGGATGAACCCAAAGAAGCCAACCCGGGGCGGGCGGGTCGTAGAAAGGCGATGCTTTCGGGGACACGCTTTTGGGGATGCTGCTGGTAAAATCAAAACCAATCCACCGAGCCGACGTCGACATCTCAAAATCGGAAGCTAGGGATCTGAATGCGACGGGTAATGTTAGAAATTAGCCGGTGAGGTTCTGAAGAGGAAAAAGGAGAATAGACCGCGCCACGCAATTATTTGCTGGATGGATGAAGACCAGTAGTTCCTGAGTAGCCAGTCAGTCGTATTCAGGGGTGTTTAGTTTCCCTTACTTAAAATTTAAAATTGTGTGCCTATCACATTAGATGTTTGACACTAATTTAAAATATTAAATATAGATTAATTATAAAATTAATTATATGGATTAAGACTAATTTACGATACGAATCTATTAAGTCTAATTAGACTTATGTTTAGTATTTTTAATTAGTATTAAATATCCGACGTGACATCTACTAAATTTCAGTTGTACTAGCTGAAGTAGCGGTAGCACCTGCCGATGAGATGATTAGTGAAGGAGCTAGATTGGTACTGGCAGGCAGGAAAGCGGATCATGTCGAATATGATGCTCTGCTCGTGCTCGCCTGCTCGATCGGTCTCCGGCGCTCTCGGCGTGCCGGGAGGCGGAGGCGGAGACCGGAAGGACGGGCTGCGGGCGCACCGGCATCTTGCGTCGCCGCCGGAGATTTGATGGCCCGGCTTGAGCTGTGCCGCCTTGGCGTTTGTTAACGCCGGGTGGCGCGCAACAATATGGTTCGCTTGAGCTTGTAAGTATGAATCAGCTCTACCTTTTCAGCTATGGAATAATGTTTTTCACTCATAACAAATTAATCCTATAAATAAGCCGCAGCAGCGGTAAGCCCTGCCCAACATAGCCAAAGTGCATGGCGCTATCGTTCGTTCTTTCTGCTTTCCTTTCCTTTTTCCTCAATCCTCCGGACTCCGGGATTATTAATGCTACTAACCGCAGAAGCTGCAGCATAATTAACACAGGCCTATTAGCTTACTAGCCCTTCAAGCGGTGCCTACCCTAGCTAGCTAGGAGGAGTTTGTTCACTGGACCTGCTGTGGTACGTACACGCTCCGACATGTTGGAAAAACTTTTGCTTTGCCATTTGCCAATGGTACTCCGTCGTTTGTAGAGGAGCAGTCGAGCAGAGCAGAGAGACGTCCACCGTCACCGGCGTTGTAACTGTACATTGTACTCCCAGTACAACAACGGGGCAGATCACGAGCGAGACGGACGGCGGTGGAGCCCAGCGTGGCAGCGGCCTAGTCACGCCCATGTGTCCGTGCCGGCGTTCTCGTGCATGCCATCGGTGGATGCATGAGGCGAGATGAGATGGAATTGGAATCCAACCCGACCACGGTGCTGCCTGCCTTGTCTCGCGCCGGCCGGCTGGCGCTGGACCATCGCCGATCCGCCTGTGCCTGCCGGTGCATGCCAATGCCACGGCCCACACAGGGCCACAGGCCACATAGCAGAGCACCTCGTGGCCTGGCCTTTGCGCGGCACATGCCTGGCCAGTGGCCAGCCTGCTGCCCACGACCACCGCTAGCAGTAGCAACTGCACTCACTCCCCACCTCTGGCGCGCCGACGCAACGACCACCGCCGTCAACTTTTTACTTCCCTACGTTTACGTTTGTGTTTACTTGTCAGCAAATTTTTTTACTGTAGCAAATTTGACCATCTGTTTTTTTCTTTAAAAAAATCTTAGATACTTCAATGTATATAACACTAATGAAGTATGTTCAATAAAAAATCATATATGTGAAAACTTGATGTATCTAAAAATCTTTTACATGAAAAAACGTATGGTCAAAATTGCTACAGTAAAAATTCAGTGACAAGTAAACAAAAACAGAGGGAAGTATTTTATTGTTATTGGCTTTGCGACTTTTTCCTTTGGAGCTGCATGCAGGCACGGCCGTAGAACCATGCATGGCTAGTCTGTCGTTTGCAAGGCGAGGCCGCGGCATACACGTAGTACGTACGTTAGGGCAGACAGGCGAGCCGTGGTGAAAGGCCGTAACCTTTCGGCGCGTCCTGTCCTGATTCGTACGTACCTGGCTAAGCTATGACCATGATACCGTGCCTTGTACTGCCGCCAAATAACTGTGCAAAACCGCAGGGTGGTCCATGCAAATATAATGAAGAAGGCTAGTCAAAGCAGCGGCAAACAGACAGTGCTTTGCTTTGGTTGCATCATGCAGCTTGAGCTTGGACCGGACTGGATTAACTCTCTACTACTCGTAGTGTGCTACTGCTAGCTAAGCCTTCTATGCGACCATGCGAGCCGCACAACTGCAGCAGCAGCAGCAAATGAACAATGAGCCGCCAGCCCATGCATATGCTCGTGTCCCAACGGACCCAACCCAACCCAAAGATGCCAAACTGTGTAGTCCCGGCCAGTAGCTTCGGGCCCCACCTGTCAGTGGGTACCTCGTCCTTACTCCTTACCCAGTCTAACTCCGTCGTGCAAATTGCAAGTCGGCTGGACATCATCGATCAGTCGGTCGTGTAGCATGCATTGCATGCTGCTGTACAAACATACACAGAGGGAACTTCACCGTCAGCGTCAGATTAGGTAGCTAGAATGGAATGGTTGTACTCGCATGCATGTCATCAGCCGGCCGGCGCATGCTCGTGTCAATGGCGGTAAGCACCGTTTTCGGTTCTTCCGCTGCACATTAGCCAACCTGAATCTGACCTGACGATACGTATATGGTAGGGATTTTCAGGTGGCAGGCAGGCAGGGGCACTCGTTCCATCGCTCTGCGTACTGACTACCGTACGTACTGAACAAAAAACGGGCGGACGTCACCATGCATGGCCGGCCGGGCCAATTGCATGCAACAAGATGCATTCGATCGATCCGTCGCCGGCGGGAATTGAAGTGGTGGCCTGCTGGGAATGGAGGAGACGCTTTTCTGTTATTGGTCACGTACGTACAGCTAGCTACGGATGGGGACGTACGGTATTAGACGGCCGGCGACGGGTGGACGTTGGACGTTGGTGCTGGATCCGTCGTCACCGCGACGTCCTAGCTACGGCCTCCCGTCCCGTCCTGGCCAGATAACGAGAGAGGCCGGCCGGCCCCGGGCAGTTTGCCGTGGCAGCGCAGACCGGTCACGGTCATGGCGCGTGGGAGATCGTTATCTGGATGACTGGATCGTCGCGGAGGCCACAGCCACAGGCGGGCCGGTCTGCCCGGCCCCCGTCGCATCGGATTACGTCTGCATCGCGCGCACCCACGCATTCATTCATTTATTCGCAGGCACGGATCTGCTCTGAATCTCTGATGCCCGCCGCGCGCGCGCGTCCTCGTCAGAAGGATCATGCCATGCATGCATTTAACAAGGAGATTATTGCTGGAACCGACCTGATCCAGCATCGTCCTCCCGTGCGTCTATCTCTTCAGGATTAGATCATCGGGTTTAATAATCCTTGTATACATGGAGCATGATAGACGCGCGGTTGGTTTTCTTCGACCAGTCAGAGTCTCAGAGCGTATGTCGCATCCGAGTGTCCGACCGGTGCAGGTCTCCGATGTCTAACGCAGCCGCCACGTGCCCCGCAGACACTGAGACACAATGTTGGTGTTGCTATCTCTCACTCAAAAGGAACAGAATTGTTTTTGACGATTGTAAACCTAAAAAGTTGTCAGGATCACCAAGCGCACAGCTCAATGGAAAGGCGGTACTGTTGGCCGGGCGTCCGGCAATAACCGATGACGGCAACGGCG